CCAGAGGGGAGCTGGGTGGCCTCAGCACAGCGTGATGCCCAAGCCCAGCTGTCCCCACAGGTGTGGGACATCGAGACCAAGGAGCAGGTGCGCACACTGACCGGGCACGTGGGCACAGTCTACGCCCTCGCCGTCATCTCCACGCCCGATCAAACCAAAGTCTTCAGCGCGTCCTACGACCGCTCGCTCAGGGTGCGTGTGGGGCTGTGTGTGGGGCTGGACCTGGGGTCTGGGACAGCCCAGGAGCCCCAAGGGAAGGGTGGGGGGAACCCCAGGGGTCCCCATGTATCACCCGTGTCACCCATGTCACCTGTGTCACCTGTGACATGCAGCATCCCTGTCCCTCCTGGTGCTGCGGGCTGTGCTGGGCTCACCTCCCCGTGTGTCCCCGCAGGTGTGGAGCATGGACAACATGATCTGCACCCAGACCCTGCTGCGCCACCAGGGCAGCGTCACCGCCCTGGCCGTGTCCCGCGGCCGCCTCTTCTCCGGCGCTGTGGACAGCACTGTCAAGGTGGGTCTGCTCAGGCTGCTCCTGCTGGTCTGGGCCTGTAGGGCATGAATTGTGTTAGGAGTCAGAGTGACAGGAGGGTGGGGACAGGTGAGGGTTCAGCTCTGCTGCCAGGGAACAAGTGACCAGACAAGAGGACATAACCTCCAGCTGGGCCAGGGGAGGTTCAGGTTGGACATCAGGAAGAATTTCTTCATGGAAAGGGCTGCTAAGGAAGGGGCTGTCCAGGGAGGTGGTGGAGTCCTCATCCTGGAGGTGTCCAGGAAATGACGGGATGTGGCTGGGTGACAAGGTAGGGATCAGTCACAGGTTGGATTTGATGATCTTGGAGGTCATTTCCAACCTTGATGATTCTGGGATTCTTTGAAACAAGGGGATGGTTCTCCAGGGGAGGGAGGTCTCCCTCCTGACAGTGTTGTGGATGCTGGCAGTGCAGAGGGAAGCTCTGTGGGGATGAGGAGAAGCCCACAGGGCTGCTCAGGAGTCACTGCCTGCGGTGCCATCGTCTGTCCGCAGGTCTGGACGTGCTAACGAGAGCGTCACACGAGTCCTGCACACTGAAAGACCAAAAACTCTCCCCTCCATCGGCCTGTGGGTGACCACACCACTGAAACGACTGCTGCAGCTCCTCCTGCACTGACCACTGCCTGCTGCTGCTGCCCCTCGGCCGGCGGCTCTGCGGACGGCTCTGCCCCACGGACGCTCCAGGTGTTCCCTCAGATTGCCCCAGATGATGGAAGAGTGGAAGCTCCTCCAGTGCCAGTGCCCTCCTCTGCCTGTGTCCCCCCAGCTGGGGACACCCCCAGGCTGGCGCTGGGGTGACACTGGGCCTGGGGGCTCAGTGCCAGTGCCAGGAGCGGACAGATCCGTGTGTCCTGTGGGGACAGGCTGGGCCCCTGTCCGTGGCAGGACTGAGCTTTAGGCCAGGCCGTACCCTGGGTGGGCACCCGACCCCTGTCTGTCTCTAGTATTTAATTTACTGCCAAGGCGCCGGGCCGATCCAGCTGGGAAGAGGTGTTTCCTTGAGTAGCCAGGTACGATTTTTATTGCCACAGCTAGTTCTCAAATCAAGTTCCACAAGCCCATTGTTCACCACCCTGTAATAATGGTCTCCACATTAAAGACAAAAAGCCTCCGTTGCATTTTTACTCACATTTTCTACTGTTTTTAAGATTGTAATATAGATTTGATTATTTCTTCATTGACAATAAAAGCAGAAAGAGTTGTTCCTGCCCGGTGTGAGTTATTGCAGGGAGCCAGCAGCCAGCACTGGCCCCATGGGGTGAAAATTGAAGTGCCTGGGCCCTACACTCCACAGGGAACAGCTCCCAGCCAGGCCCCAGCACCCCACAGAGACACCCAGGGGTGCCCTCAGACTGTGCAGCACAAACACCCAGCACGCCACGAGGACTCAGGAGGGCTTGGGGACACAAACAGTGGTGGCAGCCCGGCAGGGGTTTTATTTTTTTATTTTTGTTTAAATATTTGTTGCCAGACTTGGTATAGGAGCAAACGTCTTCACAGCACCACGAGCCATCTACAATTCAGAATAGGAAGAATAAAGACGAGTAGAGGTGAAATCTAAGCACAGAAGAGCAGGGAGCAGCACCAAGATGCAGAGCTGGACAGATGGGATACGATACAGAGTCCATAACTTAATCATAAAAAATATATATATGTATATATCCATCATGTAGAACTTTATGGATTTTTTTTTTTAGATACATATTTTTTTTTTCTTTTCAACAGATATTTTCAGGCGGGTGATTTATTTATTTTTTTAAATTATTTTTAAAGTCTTTTTTTTTTGTGTTTTGTTGGTTTTTTGTTTTTTTCAAAAGAAATTTCAAAGTTGTGCCAAACACATCTGGATCAGCGACCACAACAGGAGAGACGGGGGGAGACAGGGCAGGGGGGGAGAGGGAAGGAGGGAGAGACCACTCCACGTCTCGAGAGGAAGAAAGGAACAGCAACACTTCTGTTTGGAAACCACAAGCAAAAAATGCATTCATCAGGACTCAAGCGACTGAACCAGACTCCAACTCCAGTTTGTACAGGAATATACAGCGGCGCATCCCGCGGGACGCGCCGGGCACACGCACCCCGCGTGCACACCCACGCACACCCACACGCACCCAGACACAGACCGACAGCAAAAGCGAGGAAAAGAAACCGAACCAAACCCTGAAGACACTCCAAAAGAAACGAAACACCTCCGGTGTAAGAATTAACAAAAACCTCCATAAAACAAGGCACATCCTTTGAGTTCGTAACGGTGGAAAAAGAAAGACGCGACACTGAATCCCAACGGAAAACCCGACCAGAACCGCTCGCACGTACCTTCCACCCAGAGAAAAGGTAAATATTGTGCTACTCTTAGAATGAGTTTGCCACAAGACACACAGCTTAGTATAATCTAATAGTTTTTCTCAAGCTAAAATCCAGTTTTCTCTTGATTTCTTTTAAACTGCTTTATATATAATTGCTAATATTTTAAATCTTTTAAATATATATTTGTTAAAGTTTATTTCTTTTTTATTATTTTGGGGTTGGGGGAAATCTGCTTTATATCTTTTTTTTTTATTTTTTTTTTTCCCCTCCAATAAATTAATACTTTTTTTTT